TCATGCCTTTTCCTGAGTCATTGCTGATTATAAATTCATCAAAGCTGAAAATTGTCAGTTATGACTGTAAATCTATCACGAGTGAAATTCTTTTGCGCAGTATATAATACAATTTTTATTTCTTTAATAAATTCAAAACTTTAAATTAAAATTAGTTATAATAATATACATAAATATAAAAAAGGAGTGCCAAAAAAATATAATTAAACAAGTAAATAAGGGCTAAGTTCGGATGTAACCGAACATTTTATACTCTCGCAAAGTCAAATGGTATACTCGCTTAAGATTTCTTTGTGGATTGGCTGATATTTTCGGTAGAAGGTCAACTATAGGCACTGGGGTCCACATATTTAGTACTTAGGGGCTTGAACAGTTTTGGTTCGATTTAGACAATTTATTGTCACAAGGTGGCATACTTTAAACGTATTATTCACGCAAAGTTTTACCCCGATATAATCATTGTTGCTTGATATGCATAGTGGAAAGTGAAAGAATCAGATGGAATTGAAAATGGTGTTATATGGGAAATAGACGTGGTTGCAGTCCGATTTCGCCCATTTTCGCACTATAACATAGAAATATGAAAATAACGTTATGTACCGAATTCTGTTGAAATTGGTTAAGCAGATCTCAAGATATGGGTTTTCACCTAAAAGTGGGCTGTGCCGCGCCCACTGTCTAATTTTGAACGCGGTTCTTATAAAGTCATCTCATACCATCCCAGAGATAAAATTTAATGTCTCTGGCGTGTTTCGTGCTTGATTTATCGCGCTTTTAGTAGTTTTTAACAGTACCGTTATATAGGGAGTGGGCGGAGTTGCCACCCAATTTCAACTATTTTCACACCGTCAATAGAAATGCTAAAAACATTTGCTTCCAGTGAATTTGGTTATTATAGCATTAGCGGTTTAGGAGATATGCACATTAAACTTATTAGAGGCGGGACCACACCCACTTTTAAAAAAAAATTTTAACTGAAGATGCCCCTCCCTAATGTGATCCTGTGTACCAAATAACAGCTCTTGCGGAGCTTAGTTATGGCAATTTATTTGTTTTTGATTAATGGCGTTTTGTGGGCGTGGCAGTGGTCCGATTGCGCCCATCTGCAATACCAACCGTCTCACGGTACCAAGAAACATGTCTACCAAGTTTCATAAACATATCTCAATTTTTACTCAAGTTACAGCTTGCACGGACGGACAGACGGACGGACGGACAGACAGTTACCCGGATTTCAACTCGTCTCTACATCCTGATCATTTATATATATATAACCCTATATCTAACTCAATTAGTTTTAGGTGATACAAACAACCATTAGGTGAACAAAACAATTATACTCTGTAACAACTGGTTGCGAGAGTATAAAAATAAATTATGAAAAGAAATGTTCACTTGATTCAATGCTTGCTCTTCTCAAAAGCTCTGCTGTACGTGTGTCTCCAGTTCATGGATATTTCGGAATTTTAAAATGCCTAAATAAAAATGAAAATTAACTAGAAAATAATTTTATTTGAAACTTAATAATAACGTACATATATTATATTATATTTGAAAACTCTTTCGGTTTTTATTAATTTATTTTTCAGCACAAAAAGAGAGAGCTATAGTAAGGAATATAAATCGTAAAAGTCTCTTTTTAACAATAACAGTGACGGTCAATTACCGGGTAAATTTACCGTCAGTACTGGCATAATACAAAAATACTAAGGGCGAGGGGGGAAGCAGGTCGAAACCGACCTCTGCTATAGTGGCCGGTTTCCTAGGGGGGACACTTTCACCGAGGGGGCTGAAATCGTCCACGGTTAAGGGTGAGAAGGGCAATCCAGGGGATGCCGGGGTCCTCGGCGAACGGTAAGGGCCCGGTGGGGAAGCACGTGACTGCAGCCAAAAAGCTGAAGTCTGATCGTCGATTGGCTGCCAAGATTTTAGAGCGCTACGCTGGCAAGCAGGCTGATCAGAAATCTGACCAGCATATTAGCACACCTGAGTGGGCCAAAAGGGTGCTGAGCGGCGTGGGCGACGGTAAAGTGGGGCCGAGCGAGCCCCACACCACGATAAAGCGGCAGAGATCGCAGGAGGGGGAATCCTTCCTCGGCAAAAAATCTGGGGTCGGACCCGCACCGATGTTTAGTGGAATCGCTAAACTCGCAAGCTCAGTGGAGCTTGGTGTGTACGACCGAAGCAGGGTAGATGGAGCCATCTGACGAATGGAAGCAGGTAGCGGCTGCTATCTCCGCTGTATTCATTTAGGTGGTCAGGGGAAGCCCTGGATCACCCCCTAGATGTGAAAGTGCCAGGTGGAGCCTGGGCATTCACAAACTAATTAGGTGTGCCGACGAACGGTCAGCTCTCCTTTATAAGGAGGCGGTAGCCAGGGTAGGGAAGGTGTGGAAAGGAACAAGGCCTCGGCCGAAATTGAAGAGATGTTGCGGTACTGCAATCCATCTCTTCCCACCCAAGACTGCAGATAACGGGTGGACTACGAGTAGCGAGGAGTCGCTGAAGCTACTCCTAGATGCTCATTTTCCGCTGAATTGCTCTACTGAAGAAGTACCACTGGGGGAGCTTCAGGAAGGCTGTACAGTCTTCTTGGACCTTCTGGATTATTGTCACCTTACCTGGGCGCTGAAATCATTCAAGCCCTTCATGTCCCCGGGTCCTGATGGCATCATACCTGCGCAACTACAGCGTACGTTTAAGGTGTCATGTAGCTGGCTGACCCCCATCTACGCGAACTGTGTTAGATTGGCGAAGGCCTGGTGACAGGTTAAGGTTACGTTTATTCCGAAGGCCGGTAAAAGCTCTCATGTTGGTGCAAAAGATTTCAGACCCATCTGGAGAGACTTATGCATCTGTACATTAAGGGCAGAATATCAATGGGTAAACTGTTACGGGCGCAGCATGCTTATATCAAGTGGGCACCTTTCTCGACATCGAGGGGGCCTTCAATAACGTGCGGCCAGAGGCAGTGGTAAAGCCCTCGAAAAGTTTGTGGTGGAATCGAACCCTAAACATCTCACTTTCAGTCTTCTTTGCGACAGAACTGTCGTAGCGGAGTGGAGTAGTGCCAAGTCAACCAGAAAGATTAATAGGGGAACTGAGCAGGGAGGAGTACTCTCCTCACTGCTCTGGATCTTGGTGGTAAACGACCTACTTACAGAACTCGAGGCGCAAGGCTGTCGGGTGATAGCCTATGCTGATGATGTGGTTCTTATCGTTAAAGGTAAATTCCTGAATACCGTCTATGAGCTCACAGAAGGGTACCTAAACTTGGGATCCAACTGGGCAAATAGAAGCAGCCTAGCCGTCAACCCAAGTAAAACTGAAATGGTTTTATTTAGTAGGAGGTATAATAAATATAACGAGTAGGTAAAATACCTAGGGCTTATCCTTGATAGAAAGCTTTCTTATAGGCCGAACATCGAGGAGAGAGTCAAGAAGACATCGGTCGCCTTATATTGCTGCAGGGGAACTATACGGAAAAATTGGGGACTCTCACCAAAGGTGATGATCTGGCTCTACGGCACCCTAGTCAAGCCAATATTGTTCTATGGTGTGTTCGTTTGGTGGAGGGCGCTCGAAAAGACTACCCTGGCTTAAAAGCTTGAGCGAGTCCAAAGAGCGGCGCTCATCGAAATCTCTGGTGCACTGCGAACCACACCAACGATAGCTCTCAACGCTATATAAAATGTAGCACCTGTGGACATTGCCGGTAGGAGCATTGCTGCGAAGTGTGCTATTAGGCTCAGAGAAGCTGTGCTTTTGAAAAGGACCGAACAAGGACACGCCACAATTCTCTCCTCCTCCAGCTGCAATCCTGAAAATTTGGATCACAGCGCTCACTCGAGGTGGATTTTTCTCTGCGCATATCCCGACGAGGGAGATGTGGAGAGGAAGAAGCCGCTGGAGAAGAGGCGTGGTGAGCTTTTTCACGGATGGGTCGAAGCTAGGAGGGAAAGTTGGAGGGGGGTTTTCTGTAAAGAGTTCTCCGTCAATCTTTGCTTCAGGCTACCGGACCACTGTAGCGTTTTTCAGGCGTAAGTGGCCGCGATGAAGTTGGCGATAGAAGTACTGTTACGAAGTGCACTCCAACAGCAGTGTGGCAATACAAGCCCTGAGTGCGCGAACCGTGCATTCAAAGCTAGTCAAGGAGTGTCTGTCCTCACTAGAATTAGCAGCAGGCTACTTCAATATCAGGCTCATTTGGGTGCGAAATCGCTGGGAATTGCAAGGCCGATGAGCTGGCCAGGGGGGCACCCCTGCCCCGCTCACATCGGAATTGGATCGAGCTAGTTCTCCACTAACGTCTTGCATTCTGGCTCTGGACCAATGGACCTCGCATGCGCTCAGCAGCGCGATCCTTCTGGCCGAGAGTGGATCGCAGGAGGTCGGGCGATCTTCTCGCCTTGAACAAAGTTCATCTCGCCGCCATGGTAGGAGTTCTCACTGGGCACTGTCCAATGGGAACTTATTCGGTGCGGCTTAGAATACTACCCGATGGTAGTTGTCCAAGCTGTATGGAGGAGGGTGAAGTGGAAACATCCCAGCACTTTCTCCTCCACTGTCCGGCTTTTGTTAGGTTGATATTGAAACCTCTCGACAATCACACTTTTGGCGGACCAGAAGATTTGGCCGAAACAGATATTGGCCGTTTCAACAAGTTTGTCATAGGCACAAAGCGCTTTGTCGGCATGTAAGGGTCTATTGATCCGGCATATAGGAGTTTTGGATACCACAACGGACCGGCGTTTAAGCTCTCCAAGTGTGATCCTTCTTAGGATCGACCCTCTAACCTAACCTTACTGGCATAATAAACGTGAGTGTACCCATCAGCAGTTTCTTGCAGGGTTCATTTTTAGTTAAATTACAAGTGCACGCAAAGCCAGTGTAGAGATAAAAATTGTGATTTGTATGTTTTCTAAAGTCACACTATAGAAAATAAACCCCAATAATATCTATAACACAGGATGCAGCAAGAGTTAAAAATACTTATTAAGTCAATACCTAACTAGATTAGTCTATATTAAAGTTCATGTGATTTTATGCTAAACTGGTATTATATCCATTGCATTCGCCAAAAAAATTATATTATCACTATAAAAGCTAAAACTGGTAACCGCTTGCTATTCTGTCCTTATTTAATTATGCCAGTATGTTTTATCTTTACTAATTGTGCGTTCGATTCATTCTTATCCAAGGTTGCCTTATCTACTAACCACTGTAAACGCATATAAATATCAAACCATATTTAAAGAAAATTCTAAAAACTCTTACAACTGCCGTTTCAAATGCCCGGTGTGTGGCTGTAAATTATTATGAGCAGATGTCGGAAGAATTATGTTGTACAGCAAACCCGCATTAAATACCTAGCTTATTATCATTTATCACCAATAACAACACATTTAATTATTATTACATATATTTGTGGGCATGTATCGGAGCGTTTATTACAAATGTAGTGGTTTTTTTTGACTTGACTGTAGTATCCATGCAATAATTGCACTTAATGTCCTTGCCATATTTTTCTCATGTAGTTTTAATTATTTTTGTTGTATTCACATTTTTTTTTGTATATCGCCTGTTGGTTTGCAGAACGGTATATAGTTTATAAATGTGTATGTGTGTGTGTAAAAGCAAGTGTATTTTGTATATCTCTGTCCCCTGTCATTACGATTTTCCTGTTTATAATTAGCGTTAGCCCGATCGCTTCTGGAAATTAATATTATCAATGCGATATTTGTGACTTTGTTTACACACTACATACGAAGTTTAAACACTCGGCATATGCGAGTACAAAAACAAATAACACTTTAAAATAACGATTGTGACGATGTATCATAAGCACTTACCTGACGATATTTCATAATTGCAACGAAACTATAATATATAAAATATAATAACACATTCTATCGATTACATTCAACTAACGATTAACATCACTTACATTCGTTTAACCTTTGAAAAGGAAAAACTACAGCTTCTTAAATAATTTTTCTTAGCAACTGTCTTCTCAGGCATCCATCTCCACATCTTACTTTCTTCACCTCTTTCAAAATTATCATCTTTGGCAGACACCGCAACACCACAGCACCGGCAAACCGCAATCAACCATTCCGCCAAGTTACTGAGTGATTGAGGGACAGAAAATCACCGTTTCACATTCACATGTCAACATGACACATAATCAAATGTCAAATGATAAAGTTATCACGGTGACATTTTACCGCAGTGAGAACAAAACTCACTCACTTAGAAATAACACTCAGACGCCTTTACAATATACATAGGTACATACCTACATGTCTAATATTTATTGTATATATGCGCAAAGAAGTGAAGTTACCGCTGTCATGATGAGTTTATCTTAGAGTCGCTGAGAAGCCCCACTGGCAGTCAATCACTTCCTTTATGTTGATTTTCGTCAGCAAATCACGAAATGTGATAAAAAGACTATCGCTCAAACTCTTTGTACGAATGCAACTGCGCAAGTTAGTACACGATATTTTATTGATTTAATTGAATTTGACAAACTTGTGGTTTCTATATTATGTATGCGTTTAAAGATTATCTTTTTCTGCTAATATTGTGACATTATTCTTTCATTCTTTACTTGTTTGGGAATGTTTTCTGCCGATACAACAACAAACAGAACTCCATAAAAGGTTCGTGTGGGTTGGTGCAAAAATTTGCAGCACTTGGTAAAACTCTATCTAAAGAAGGAAGAGACGAAATATACGTTGTACATATCCCTGGGTATCGTATTCGGGACTTTACCATATAGATATGAAACGTTACCTAGTCAATCAATTTTCATATACTTAGTTTTTAATTATAACCAAGAGCAATATTATGAGTCTTTAATTAGGTATTGAAATTAATAGCCTTAGTTATAAGTTAGAGATAATTTATGGAGTAGTAACTCAAACTATAACATTTTTTGAGTCTGATAAATTGTTCGTTTCTACCATTATCACAGAAGAATTTTTATATATGGTACTACGGGACTTTACAATTTTAACAATAATTTCAGATATTGTCCGGATGGTCTATACCTGCAAACGATAAGAATTTACCCGCGGTAAGGCATGCCTGTCGTAAAAGGCGACTAAAAGCCAAATGCACTATGACTGTTATTATGTACCTTGCTCAGTAATATCAGCATAGTATGTCAGGAATAGTGCTATAATACTCAGCTTGAACTGATATTATAGACTTTAAATGAAAAAGCAAATAAAAAGACATTTGAAGTTCAAGCGACAAATGTCACCAGTCATTGAGTAATGGGTTGCTCAACTGGCAGTAGTTTCGGCTACGCAGTCTTACCGGAGACTTTCTGGTACCACGGGGAGCAGAAAGCCCTTGGATTTCGGTCCAATCTGCTCATTGGGTTATGGCCCCTTTGGGGAGATTCGTGGTGGCTGTGGTTGAAACCTAAATGCAGGAAGAACTGAAAATTCAGCCTAACTGTTTTTTCAGTTCAAATATAAAGTTGCAAAAAGCAACTGGGTTCCGTACCCGAAAAAGGAAGAGGTTTTAGGTCGGCCTCGAATCATACCAAGATGGTAGTGTGGACCCAGACACACTACCACTGGTATCCAAATAAATACTTGCAAATAGCTCGTATTGTTTAGGGCGCTTATCAACGCATTGTATTGATACGTTGTGTTTTGGAACACCGTGAGGTAAGGCCGTCGCCGGCAGGTACTCACGTAAATCAACAACGAAAGTTATACCTGCAAACGATAAGTTGAGAAAAAATTGAGATATCTAGATAAAACATCGTACACGTGTTTCTTATATTTAACAAATTTAAATACAGTATAATTATAATACATAGGTATATTAGCAAAAATTGATCGGTGACTCCTTAGCTTAGAACTTACTTACTTGATTTTTAGTAGATTTTAGCGATTTTATGGAAAGTTCAAATTTTATAATATATAATATATTCAAATATAGTCGGTTCCCAAAAATTTTGCAAACCACTCAATCTTAAATCGTTTGATTTGTAATGTTAATTAGCATATACTTGTATAAGCTGTCTTCGATTGGACATTTCTCTGCTCTCTTGTCAAAAAATTTGGATGTGAAAGCAACAACAAAGTTATCGAATTGAATTGAAACAGAAGAGTATGCGTCATTAAAGTGGTATAACTTCTATCTTCAATGCTACCAAGTTTTGTTTAGCATGGTGTAGCTCACTTCTACTATTGTAAGTAGTTCAAATAACATGAAATTACAACTTTATTTTTTACTTGTATTTTTGAAACTTAAGACTAAAAATCAATTATAATTATTTATAAAAAACCAAAACAAATGGTTACAGCAACATTTTTTAATGCGAAAAAGAATTTCTCCACTAATAAAGAATTATAACACTATTGCGCATGCATCAGAAGACATGTTAGCACAGGGTTCAACCACAAGTGCGTTCGTTTGAGCATCTGGTATAGTCTGTTCGATTCGCTAGAGAGTAACCTTGGCGAATTTCAAAAATGTCATATGCTCCCAGGTGAAAATTATAAATATACTAATTGCGCTCCCGAAGGCAATTGCTAAACAAATATATACAAGTACATACTGTATATGTTTCGTTTAGTTAATATATACCTATGTATGTATAAGAAAGTACCAGTTTTGGTACACAGCAGACATGGTTTTTGTCAAGCTGAAATCGTCAGTTCAATGTACAAGTTCACGAACTCTCTGACACCTACAATAAAGCCTGCGATAAAGCTGTTTAATATCAACTTGCACCCTCGAGCGGTAAATAGAAAACGACACTGTAAATAAAACGCAGACTGAGTTTTGATAAAAATAGAATTTAAAAGGGAAAAAAAACGAAGAAATCAAACAGCGCCGTGTTGTACTTGTATTTAATTTATTGATACACGCAACAAGGGCACGAACAAATAATTGAAAGTGGCAGCACTTTCAAGTTGGGTGTCACGCCGGTGAAATGCGCGGGTCTTTGAAGATGTATGCGTGCAACCACGTCGAAATAGCCTAGTTTTTCGAGTAAAAAAAGTTTCTCTCGCATTTTATTTGTCTACTCAAATACGATTTTTCTTTACTTCGAGTGTTTGTGTTCTTTTTTTGGTGCTCAACGGCTCCGCTTGATTTCGTAAACAATAGCAAGTGGCATTGACATGTGTAGCAGCCGCAGCAGACTAAACACGTGAGTTCTTTACGGACAACAACAACAAAAACAATAAACAAATTCTGCATCGGCAACCACAAAGTCAAACAGTTGATGTTTTTGTCTGCAGCACCGGCACCAGCAAAGTTTGTTTCTAAAATCATTTTCGTAAATATTCTTATCAGTGACAGATAAGAGTCACTTTCCATAGAGAAGTTGTTTAGGCAAAAATATACATACATAAATACATAGACAGATATTTTGTTTGGTTTTTAAGAAGAAAGCCAAACTCTCTTATCTTTCTCTAAACAAAGTTATTAACTAAATTGTGAGATCATGGAGTCGAGACATGAGTATATACATAAACTTACACATTACATGTGAACATTCTAAACAATAAATAATTAAAATTTTACCAACAGCGACACTTTAAAAGCAACACTAGCGCTCAATAGGTTTCTTCATATTGGAAGATGACGCTAACTCTAGTGATGCTGCTTTGGAGGTTTTCGGGCTTTGAGATTTTAAGGTGATTCGTTGCTTAGCCTTTGATGAACAGTGATAATATTTCTCCGTAAGAAAATTTTACTTTATACATCATGGGATCCAGCATTTCTATTTTTTGGGGCGGATTTGATTCAATTTCAACGACACCAATACATATCTGTGTTATTGCTTCTTCTTGTCTGCCAAGCATTATCTTAGTTTTACTATACTTACATGTCTAACCTCTCATTCTAATTCAGTCAATTTGGCGCCCAATTTGCGTAAATCATAATTTCAAAACTGTCAGCCTATTTTGTAAATCAAAGATGTTCAATTGAATTTTATAGTCTTTTTAATTAATTGCAGTTATTTTATGTAATAAACAAAAAAAATCTATCAACTATCACAAATGGATGACTCGTAAAACGTTCGATACACAAGCCGAGCCATAACTCCAATAGTAAATAATGGTGCAAGAGGGCACTTAATATGAGCAATGTGTTACAATAACAATAGCAATAATATGTCGACAAAAACTTGCGTAATCAATTAAAATTTTAATATGATCGACAACTGCGCATGCGCAGCAGCGTCCAAATACCCAAATAAGTTTGAGGCGAGCAATTGAAAATGAGCCGTTGTGCACTTTTGGTAGTCATAAAAAGCGCATAAAATTCCATATAAATACACACATACACGTACAACAATTGAAAACAATTTACATTTTACGATTTTTCAATTACGAGAATTATCAGCGGCGCGTGCGGCCGCCCAAGTTTACCGCCAGGGTTGCCTGTGGAAATCAAAATCCAAAATGCATAATGCGCATGTTATTGTAGATGCATAAATACCCCGGCCGGTAGAAATTATCCATTTTATGGCGGAAGAATCGTCGGAAAATTTGTCGTGGTTAGTTAAGCTGATAATCGCGTTGACTGCTAATCGCTAACGTTAAAGTGACTATCACTTTGTTTGCGGCACATTTGGAGTCAAAAGAATTAGTTTTAAAATTTTATTTAGGTAAAATCTTCTTTTGTGAAAATTTCAAATTGCTATTGTGAGCATTTAAATTTTCAACTAACTCAGTTCCAGCGAAGAGTCAACGAAGCGCAACAAATTTCCATCGGCAAACACATAAAACACACTTTTCAATTTTTTCTAATTTCCATTCAATGCTTTAGAGCAAATAAATGCTATAAACTACTGGGAATTTTGTTTTTGTTGTCTAATTTCTAGGAATGCTGTCATTTGCAATTGTTGTCACATTTGTTGGCGACAAACCTGGCTGTTGACAGACCGCTGAAATGCGTGTCTCAGCGGCGCTGGCCAAAGTGTTATTAATGACTTGTTTTCGCTGAATTTATTGCTTTATTTGGTTAATTTATTAACTTAACTGGTGCAGTTGATAACGAAAAAAAAATAGTTGCGTGGGGTGCGCGCTTCATTCTCGCACAAGACTATAGTTACACAGTTATAGGGAGTTAGCATGTTTGTTAGTTCTGTTTCAAGATTGCCTGCTGATAAAAACTAAATTACCTTGGATATATATTTTTTTATTTATAACATACCAATCATAAGTAAAAGATAATTTATTATTAAATTTAATGAAAATACGAATCCATTTTTTTAGAAATATTTTGGTTTTTGTAAACGAAGGGTTGTAAATTGTAGATCGATCGTTTTTAATTAACATACTACTGTTATCATGTTATGCCAACAGAGGATTGCTTATGTGCGGAAACATAATATTAGGTCAAGTAAAAAGTTCGTTCGGTTTTTATCTAAGAGATGGCGTTATTGTCCATAGTACTAGTGTTACGTGTCGCAAAAGTTTGTCTTTGACAGCGCTCGTTGTGAGCGCTCGTCAAAGATGGACACCAACAAAGAGAAAATTCGCTATATTTTACAATTTTTCTTCGATCAAAGCGAAAAAGTAACCAAAGCGGCTGAAAACAATAATTTAGTTTATGGGCCCGATACTGTAAACGAACGCGTAGCACAAAAGTGATTTGCTAGGTTCCGTTCCGGTAATTTCTATGTCAAAGATGCACCACGCGTCGGGAGACCTGTCGTCGAAAATTGCGATAAAATCATGGAAAGAGTGGAAACAGACCGTCACGTGAGCACTTATTTAATTGCTGAGGAACTAAAGATAAGCCAGAAAACCGTTTGGAACCATTTGCATAACCTTGGATTCAAAAAGGAGCTCGATGTTTGGGTGTCACACGAACTAACGCAAAAAACATGATGGACCGAATTTCCATCTGCAAATCGCT